CCCACCCCCACCCACTCTCCTCTGCTACACTGTCTTATTGGCAGTCTAATAGTGCCACCGAGTGGCAACAATTTATAATGCTTTTCTAAAATGTGCATTATTTAAACATGGACATCAAAGTCAACGGGAGACTAAGTTTACTCGAAGGTAATCATTCGAACCCTAATCTAAGGTTTTACAGTCTTGTTTTTTACATTTCTCAAAACAAGTTGTATAATACACAAATTATCATGATTTCAAAATGTGTCATACAAGACCCCAGCAATTATTCTTCAATAATTATATAACACATCAATTGTGCAATCTCAACACAAATACAAAACCACACCAACCATTTAATATTCACGCACGGTGCAAGTTTGTCATGACTACGAGCCCTAAGGCCAGTCTCATTTACCGCTGATTGTTGAATTTTGTTTGGTGATAATCGCTGGGGTGGACAGCCTTTAGACAGTTTACACAATGATTTTAAAAATTTTAGATGTTCTTCACCCTTTTCGGCACCTTACGGATTTCTCCTGCAAGCTTTTTTCCATAAACAAGCCTTTCCTCGGGCTGAGATCTGAGACAATGTGGCTGGTATAAAACCATTATGACCTACTCAAGACCACCTCTATTAAAACATTAACAGCAGGCCGGTACTCTCAACATGACACTATTATGACATGTGTTGGGCTAGAGCTCAGGTATGTCACATAAACGTGTGTCACATAAATTTTTTCTGTGGGTAAATATTTCTGTGTTCTGTGTCTGTGTGGGGGGGGAGGGTATGTGTTTGAGGGCTGGCCACGAATAAAAGGAGGACAAGACCAGTAAATACTTTTACAGCAGGCAATTTGTCAGGATGTGTAAATGTCTCCAATTCCCAACAGCACTGGAGTAAAATTTACAGTCACTCTGGAGGTGACAATGCACAAAAAAGGACCACTTTTTACTCTCTCTCATCTCCCTCAGACCACTAAAATCTTCCCATAAATCTCATCCAGGCCCCCCCAGATGTCTGCTGTTGTCAGATATCATGCCTTGACAATGCCTTCCACCATCATTGTCTTGACAGAAATATGATATGTGAAACTGCAATGTCACATCACTTAACATGATTTAGCCTAAGCTAGCCTGCACCATTTTAATCCATCAAAAATGTCACCTTTTTCCCTGTAATGATGGTAGAGGTATAGGATCCCCGTGTTGGGGTGATCTATAAGACTTATCTTGGCTACTGATTTATGACTACTGCCAGCTAATGTACTAAAGGAGCCTCCTCCCTTCCTGTCATCAGGGTTTCTATCAAATTGGCAAATAGGTAGGCCAGTATTACCTCATGGGCAGGGAGGAAGATACTTCATGTTGTGTGTTAACCCCACACACATGACATTATGTGTCTTTGAAACCTCTACAGAATATCTCTTTTACTGCACCACCAGATAATCCATTTTCTTGATCCTGTTGCACTCCATACACTCATGGTACTGCAAGGTAGTTTGGACAAACATGTCCATCAAATGCCAGACATAATGTATAGTGGCTGCTAATGGATTCTATGGGCTTGGATAGTTGCAGCTTTCAGCAAACAGAGTTTTAACAATATACCAGTCTGTTAATTTAAGCTTGTCCGAATAACTTCCAAATACTACAGGACCTACCAGACATAACAAAACATCAGACAACTCCATGTCTGAAGATGCATTATTAGACTTTATCATGGTAAACAATGACAGTGAATAATTAGTGGAAAAAAAACATCAACGTGAGCCATATAATGGAGAGATGACAAAATACATGCTTTCCATTCACAAGACTTGCAAAAGACAATAACCTAACACATATGTAAATCATGCGTACTACCCAAATATAAATAATGCATGGCCATACCAAAACAGTTAATGGTATTTAGACATCCACAGTGTGCAATAAGAACAACACACAGTACACAAGGAAACTGGGATCTGTACCTGTGACCACAATGGAGTGACTGGATCCACATGCCAGTAGCTTCACTCTGCCCAGCCTTGCCTCTGTGAACTCTCTCAGATGGGCTTCCTCTGGACCGATGTGCCCTGGCCTGCCATGTCCAGTCTGGCCAAGCTCCCCACTGCCCCAGCAAAGCAGATTCATTTCCATCTCACACTGTGTGTCCTGGGAACACAGACAAAGGAGAGGGATGTGTTTTAGCAACATAGGAAAAGTAAAGTTTGCCTGCTTCTTTTTGCAACTTTAACTTTGTTGTATTCATAAACAAGAGTATGTGTGATATCAGTTTTCTCAGGTTAGAACTAAAGTTAGGAACTACAGTTCCTGACCTGAACAGGTATTTATACGGCAGTAGTTTTGCATCACTTACATACACCCAACAAACAAATGAACTGATGAAACATATTTTTAGATGCTCGAGTGATGAAAGATAGTGGTCGTCATTAAAGTTGCATAAAACCATCTAATTCTGAATTTCCCAGCCTTATTTGTAGTACATTGTGGATGTGATGCAGATCGCCAATATTCTCTTCAACATGTTTATTTACAATCTGCCCTCTGTGCTAATTGGAACGTGACCCTGCACTCGCATACATGGGAAGCTGGGTGTATGTGAATGCATACACACACATGCACACACCCTACAGCAATATTACCAGCACAATTCCATCCGACTGCTATTGGAATTTTTCCGAAAGAGCAAACCAATAGATAACCTATTACAAAACTATAAGAGATCAATAGCTAATTTCTTTGCATTGATTACCACTTCGACATTTAACATGCGCCCTGTGGCCACAATGTGTGTTCCGCGAGCTTAGATCCCCATTGGCCCTCATGAGTATTAAAATTATCGATTCAGACAGAGGACTAAAAATGTCAAGCTGTTCATTAATCTTAATAAAGACTGGACTTGACCAAGGCACCCTTTTTCCCATTGCAGGGATACAACCTATCCAACTAGGGGGCATATACACGACATAGATTAATGAGCTTCTACTGAGGGATGTGATTTAAGTCTTTGCTATTAATAGATCAATTGCAAAAGAACACTTCTTTTTTTAGAATAGTGCTTACTTTTACCTAGTGTGCAACTCGACACAACATTTCAAAATCCATATTGTCTGCCCAATAGTGAAGAAATAGAGAAATATTTTAAAAAGTTCACAAAACAAGCAGCGCTGCAGCAATGAGGTCTTTGTGTGATATGAAGCTGCATCTGCTGTTATGCTACAGATGGCCCTCCGCAGTCCATATTAGACAAACGTTATCAGGTGCCGCCCACCAGCCACTTTCAACTCTGTCTAGTAGATGAGTTTTAAAGCATGCCGGGCTGTCCTTAGAGGACCAATGAGGGCTCAAAGCAGGATTTGATTTGCTCACTCTCCTGACTTTTAATTACTTTCATATTTCTGCCACACTTACTCATATGTTTCCTTCTCACAACTGATTGGCAGTTAAGCTGTAGCCATGATTTGCTACCTGTACATCCACTAATCGGAGAGATTGGTAACATATTTTGAAATAAGCACAATTAGAGAAGGGCTCTATTACATGAATTCATTTTTCAATAAAGAGAAAATAAGTTGTAACCATTTTAGCCAGAGAAGACAGCCAGACATTAAAGACTACACAAGAGAACTCAAAGGCCACACCACAAATCTCGTCTTGCTACTTGGAGATGCCATGTCTTGCTGCCCTGCACATATCCCCCCCCTGAAGAAGATTTCACTGATTTACAAAAGAAATATATAGTATAGCTTTGCTCTCTGGAGAACTTGAAGTTTGTTTTTTGTATGGTTCATTCCAGGTAGAGGCTATATTCTTTCTGTTTTTTACTTTTAAGCTATGCCTTATTCTTAGAATGTTTTTATTATTATTATTTGGAAAAATAAAGTTGAGTTAGTAAAAAATAACAAGGAGCCTTCTTGGGCTTGAAGCCAATATACTCTGTGTCTCAAGTAATAACAATGAGAAATCCATACTGGACAAGCGTTTAGAATATCTTTAAGCAACAATACCGTGACATATTTTTAGCACAATGACATTTTTTCTGGTCAAGAGTTTCTGAATGTCCACTAAAAAAAAAAAATGAGGTGAAGAGTTGTAATCTTACTAGTTTTGGTTTGTAACTCTGAATGCCAAACATACGCAACACCAAAGACGAAAAAAGGGAAGAAACACTTAGCAGCACAACGCCACCAGGAACTAACCTGTGCCAATGTTAAATGACAAGAACTGTTCATTTCCCTGCATGTCTTCGTAAATCACGCTTCCTTTTCTCTGTTTATATTTCTGTTGTTGGTCGCTTTGTTTTCGCACTTTCGTCGCATTTGGTTGTCTTGTGAGGTCCTGACTTCACCCCCCCTAAATACACTCCCCACCCCACATTGGCACGGTAACTGTCTCCATAGCACCTTCTGTTTACAGCACACCAGATTTTGAGATTAGCCAATGATCATCCAAACTGGGGCAAACCATAGGCGCAAACATTGGAAGAATGGGTGTTTTTGGAAAGGCACTAACACACACACACACACACACACACACACACCATTATGATGGCTATTTCAAAATACCTGAACTGTATTCCAAACTTTAACCACAGACAGTACACAGAAGTCTAAGTTTGTAGACTCCTACATTGTTTTGTCTGCATATTTAAAGCTGTATTTAAATAAAGCTGATTCTGATATTAAATAATCTGATAAGTAAATTGTGCTTGTAAATCTTGAGACATGAGCCGTCTAAAGCTTTGTCCCTCATACATATTCCACACTACAACTGACCAGCAGGTACACTAATCTTCGCTGTATACTGTTCGCAGTTACTTACCACGATACGCACTTCCATGTCCCTACGATTGACCGCCAGGGGGCTCGGTTTCGGTGCCATTCTTTTGGAACGGTTGCAATGCGCTTCTGCACTTGATTAGGAGCGCACAGTCTCTCCTTTGTCCATCAGATGGCAGTAGAGGTCTTTGAGAAGACATTCATAAGGCGTGTCCTCCTCAACACGTCCCTGTGTATGTACACTTGCCTTGTTCAACTCAAAGAGTCCTCGACTGACCATTTTTTCAATGTTATATAGTCTATACCTGTTCTCTCTACCTCACTGTGGCTAGTTAAAAGAAGTACTATATCAACAAATCTTTTCATATATTTATTTTATAAAACGATCAACTAAGAGGCAAAATATGCATTTTCTCTATATTTCCCAGTCTGCTGAATTTGACAACTACTTCTGTCTATTTTTTTTTATACTTGCCAACTGCCAGTGTTTTCTCTGACTTGTAGTCAGTTTATTCACAATAAAGAATTGCAAGAGAAGGTTTCTCTGTGACTCGTCTTTTGTATCATTGTTGTCGTTCTGTGTCTTTTGGTGGGTTTTCCCCCTTTTCATTGTTGTTGTGAGTCTCTTTGCAGCTGTTCTGAAATCTAATCTGAAATTAGACAAATTGTCTCATGAATGTGATTTGAAGTGAACTCATGAATGAGATTTTGAACTGCTTTAATTTTAAAATGCTACATCAGAATGTCCTGGTTCTCTCTGAGTGGCACCTTGAGGTGGTCTGCCATTAACCTGTAGTGAAATGATTTTGTAACTATGCACCATTTCCTCTAAAAATCGAAACAGAAATTAGACAAATTGTCTCATGAATGTGTGTCTCTTCATATTTGTTTTGTTTATTTGTGGTCATTTTTAGTCTCTTCCTTGTCACGAGTCTCTTTGAGTGAAATTGTGTAGGTGAAGGTCCAGGGGGCCCCTGGGCGTGAGCCCGGTAGGCCCTGATCAGTGATTGATCCATGAATAGCACAGGTCTTGGCAAAGAATCTCATCTATCCTGAGCTCTTCCATTTTGTCAAAGACATTAGGCCTACAGTTAAATAGCCTAATAATAAACACGCTGTATACAACACTTAAACACTAAGATCCCTTAAACTAAATGTTATATAACTCAATTGTGTAAACCTGAACAACCTATTGTGTATTTTGCTGTTGTGATATCTGGATTGCTTTAAAGTATGTTGTAATTTCACTGCCTGACATGAGGCAATAGTGGAGGTTTTCCCATTAATGCCGAGATCCTCGTTGTGGCGCTGGCACCGCAGTGGCAGGTCTGTGGAAGCTGAGCAGGCGGGTCCACAATCTGTGACAACGCCCATTGTTGTCGTTACGACTGAACCGCTGCCGGTTTATGATTTTAGTTGAGTCACTTGAGCCGTCCGTTGTTGTTATACGTTGTTAGAGCAACCTCGTTGTACTTTGTTTCCCATTCATTTGATTTACCAACGAGTTCGCTAGTCCTGAAACCAGAAGGAAAATTATACACTCTTTACAAATATTTACTTTTACAGTCATCTACAACAGTCTGCTGTCTCTCGGTTATTGTTTTTTTGTGAGCTCAATCTTAGGGCGGAGCCCCAGCCAGGTGGAAGAGCCAGGTGAGAGTCAGCCGTCGCTCCGTGTAGACACAGGTGGGTGGGGAAAGCCAACGCGTTTGACAGCTGTACATCCAAAATGTCTCCGATAAAGGACTTAAATCTGGTTTATGAAGCTCTCAACAAAGAGGACACTTTTTCTCAAGGAGATACTATCGCAGGCACAATCACTTTCAGTTTGACAAAAGAAACCAAAGTGAAGGCTCTGACCGTGAAAGCCAAAGGGGACGCGCGCGTGCACTGGACTCATGGCACCGGAGATAACCGCAAATCGTACAATGCGCACAGGAGATACCTGAAACTCAAAGAGCACGTAGTTGCAGAGAATGAGAAAGGTATGTCTGAGAAATATTTAGCCCTATGCTTCGCTCGCTCATCTTAACACCTGTACAGATTTATGTTATCTTGAATTAATGTTATCCACATATTATTGTTCATTTGTATACATTTCGAAACACAACCTGAAGTAGGTCTAATAAATCCAACTGAGCAGATAAAGTGCTGTCAGGTCCCAACAGGAAGTGTTCATCATTCTCAGTTATTTTGCAGGCACTGTACTTCCCAAAGGAGACCATCAGTTTAAGTTCAGGTTTACAATTCCACAGGGGTAAGTGTACATGTCTAGCATCTAGCAGGATCTACTGGGTTTGTGTTTACAAATACCTGCATTCATGGACCGGTTTTGTCTTACAGGGACATGCCGCCATCCTTCAAGGGGCTTCATGGAAAGATTGTCTACATGCTGGAAGCAAAGGTGTCCAGAAGCTGGCGGATGCCTTCTACAGTACAAAAAGAGCTCAAATTTGTTTCAAAGTCCCTTTCCCACCTTAGCCAAGTAATGGTGAGTGGGACACCACAGTGATACATGTTATGAATTTGTAATACTACAATTTAACTCAAATAATTGATATCCAAGATATCAAGCCACATGACTAAAGATCCAGCTGGCAATAACTGAAAGAAAGGAACAGAGGAGCTGAAGGAAACAATGCAGATTTGGGGATGAAAACTGTTTTATACTAAATGTGTCTGAGCAAAGTGTAATGACATCTGGCATGGAGAAAATTGTAACATAACAGCAGTGTACTGTACTTATATAATATAATAGGAGGCGGTCAACAGGACCGACTCTAATGTGAGAGTTTGAACGATAGGGTGTGGCATGTGAACAAATAGAATAATCTGGTTGCTTGAATAAACAGGAAATGGATTCAGCAAAAAGTAGTGGGGTGGTGAGTGATGAGAGTATTACATTAGAGAATGGAGAGAGCATTCAGTATTGCCCAACCCCCCTCTTAAACCTAGTCCGGAAGGATTCGTTTTGTGATGTTAAAGAGTTCCCTTTTTTTGGTGATAACCGACGAGGATGGCATAATCCACAGTTTAACAGCAAGATGACAACATTTTCTCCTAAACTTGAATTTCAGCCGTATGAGAAGCTGCATTGATATGAACTTTGTTTGTTTTTGTTGTTCTAGTGTCCACAGTCTGGTTCAGTGGATAAAAAGATGAGCACTTTCTCTGAAGGACAGGTCCAAATGTCTGCTACCATAAACACAAACGTTTGCTCTCCAGGTAAAGTCACTCTACTACATACTTACTTACAGTATACGTGTAATGCATCATTTTGTTATTGTGTTGTGACATTTTTTATTTAAAAAAAACTGTGCATATCCAGATGTTATGATTTGTTTTTTATAGGTGACAATGTGGCTGTTGTTGCCAAAATCCATAATTCCTCTTCCAAACAAATGAAGCCCAAATACAGTTTACAGCAGAAAATAGTGTACCGTGCCAATGCCTCCACTAATATCAGTGACCAAAGTCTGTGCAAAATGGTTGGGGAGATAATTGCACCGAATTCAGAGGAATCCGTCTCCTGCCAGTTAACGGTTCCTGCCGATGTCATCCCAACTCTCCATAATTGTGAAATCCTCACAGTTGACCATTACTTTAAGGTATGTAATAATGTAATAGTGATGTCACATCAACAGAGAAATTGAGTATTTGCATTTGTTTGCAAATATTGGCAGTTATGTAATTGTTGCACAGACTATTCTTGTCTTAAATCCCACGCTTCAACAACTGTTAGAAATATTAAACACCATAACCACACAACAGCGTATATGATTACAGTACAAACAGTAAAATATCAGACGGCACGGTCAATTTAATTAATACTTGTAGTAATATAAATAAATGGTAGTTTCATATGCTTCTCTTTCTCAGGTGTATTTGGATATCAGTTTTGCCATTGACCCGAAGGTGGTGTTTCCCCTGGTCATAGTTCCTTCTGGTTTTGCAGCCCTTCAGCCTGGTGGAGCTGTGGGGCCTTACCCAGCTGGGGCTGTGGGTCCTTACCCAGCTGGGGCTGGGGGTCCTTACCCAGCTGGGGCTG